GTGGCATAGCTTTCAGAATCACACAACTCACAAGCCACTACAGTACCACAAACTGACAGACGAGGTGGTGGCATTACTCTGTATACCTTCACTCAATTAGCAATAAAAAGTTTAAAAACAAAACAAAAGAAAGAAAGAAAAGACTTGATGATGTAGAAACTGAAATATTACAAATCTTTGACAGCCAGGAAACACTGGAATTGCACGGTCTTCTGCGTGGACAGAGTCAAACTGTTACATTCCTCTAGACATTTGGTTCCTCATGTAAAAAGGAGGGATCATTGATAAATCACCGATAAATTCCTTTCAATGTTATAACTTTATAATTAATTTTACAATGAATGTCCATTATAGTTTCTTAGGGGTTCCATTCCTACGAACCCCCAAGAAACCATAATGGGCATTAACCTCCATTCCTAGTTGCCAACTTAGTAAATATGGAGGGACTTGATTGCCAAGATATTGTTCATTCTCAAATCTCTGGATGATTTTACTCAATCCTTTTAATGCCCTACATGGTAGGTAGTTAATTAAGAACTCCGAGGCTCAAAGAAGTTAAGGAACTTGTCAACAATTAATACAGAGTTAGGATTTCTAAGTCACAACTTGTATTGTTTTCTTAATTTTTTTTTTTTCTTGACAGCACAACAGGGCCTTTCTTCAATACAACATTGAGGGAAATTATAAATAAGATATAGTGTAATGTTAAGTAAAAAGCAATTTCCTAAGAACCAAGCCAGGAAGAAAGAGTCAATATACTCTGTGTAACAGTCCATCCTAGGATTCTCCAGGCCTACTTCTACTAAAGCGTTTTACCCTTAACAGTGAAACTTGTTTAAATCTCTCAGCATCACTCACCTATATCTTGGAGGCTTAGGAGAAACTTGAGACACAAATACAGTAAAACGTGAAGCCTATTGAACCACCAGGACTCCTGGGTGTTCCACCTTTGCCATGCTTATATGTATGATAGCAGATCCTCAGTTTTCTCATCTATACATCAGATATAATACCCACTTCTTAGGCTGTCATAAGAACTAGGTGAATAGCTTACATAAATATGCTACATAACCGTACAAAGCTATACAAGGTTGAGTAACTATTATTATTGTGGTTGTTGGATAGTAGCAACAGCTGTGTGGCTATGTGATCCTTCCCTCCCTAGATAAAACTCTCTAGGAAACTGAGACTCAAACTGATAGGACTCAGCCTCCAACACCAGCTCCTTTCTTATGTAATACCCTTAGCAGGACGTACCATCCCAGGAGCTAGACTCCATCCAGTTGGCAGCATTGAAAAGCGAGGCAGTGCCGCCATAGCAGGCATTGGTGGTGTCTATGCCTTCGATGTCAGTGTTCCCGGAATCCTGGAAGAGCTCCATTAACACTGTCTTCACAGATTTGGACTTGTCAATGATGGTCTCAGTGCCTACCTCCAGCCGGCCAACAGAATCCCACGGAATCTGTGTGCGCTCCATTAGCCGCTGCACCACTGTCAGGCACAAGGAGTTGATATCTTCTTGGACCGAGCAGAAACCCATTTGGGTCTGGCCTAAGCCCACTGTGTACTTTCCTGCTTCCACATTGTTAAATTTCTCCAGGTCCGTTTGATCCACATATCGAGCTGGGAAGTAGACTTCTAGGGCAAGAATGCCCACATCCTTTGGCCAAGTATCTGCTTTGGCCATCGGAACAGCACAGGCTGTAGAAAACCTATGTTGGAGATAACAGCAATAAAGTAATCATTTGACATGTATTTTAAAATATGTTACTAGTTGCATACAAATTTAGGATTGTTGTAGCTTTCTGTTTTTTTCTTTATCCTTCTTAAATGCCCCTCTTTCTCTGTAATAATAATTCCTACCTTGAAGTCTACTCATACAAACACACTAGCTTTTTTTATAAGTATTTTAAAGTCGTATATTTTTCTGTCCGTTTATACTTTCAACCTATTGGAATCTTTGTATCTAACATGCATCTCTTGTAAAACTTATGTATATTGTGTGACTTTGAGTTGATTCCTACTTGCAGCAACCCTACTGGACAGAGTAGGGTTTTTCTCCCTTGATCTTCCTATTGTTTATTTCTAATTTTATAGAACTGTGATTTGAGAAGATGCTTTTAGGCATTTTGATGTTTTAAAATTGATTGAGGTTTGCTTTGTGTCCTAACATATGATCTGTTCGTGTACACTGGAAAAGACTGTACATTCTGCTGTCATTGAGTTGAGTGCTATGTATATGTCTGTGAGATCAAGTTGGTTGACTGAGTTGTTTAGTTTTTCTGTGTCTTTGCTGATTTTTTTCTAGTTGTTCTGTTCTTAATCAAATGTGGTGTATTAAAATCTATTACTATTATTGTAGAGTTATCTATTTCTTTCTTTAGTTATGTTAGAGTTTGATTTATGTATTTTGAGACTTTTTCTTGGGGGCACAGATATTTATTACAGTTGTATCCTCTTGTTTAATTGATCTATTAATCTTTCTTTGTCTCTTATGTGGGTGTTTGTCTTAAAGTCCATTTTAGCAGAGATTAAAATGACCAGTATTGCTCATTTTTGGTTGTCTGATATATTTTTGTATCCTTTGATTGTTAGCCTGTTTCTATCTTTGTGTGTAAGGTATTGTTGATATTTCAATTGGGATATTTATCCATTTATATTTATTGTAATGACCGATCTATTGGGATTAAGGCTATCATTTTACTGCTTGCTTCTTATTATCTCATCTGTTCTTTGCTCCTTTATACCTCTTTCCCTGTTTTCTTTTGGGTTAAGCAAGTATTGTGCTTGTCTAATAATCTAAAGATTGGCAAATCAAACCCATGAAGAGGCCACATGTAAGAAAGATGTGGAGATCTGCTTCTATAAAAATTACAACTCCCTCAAAACCATCTGAATCAATTCTACTCTATAATCTATGGGGTCCTCACAATTTATAATAGACTTAAATGCAGGTTGTTTTTGCTTTTTTAAAATGAGCTTTTTAAAGTTTTACTTCTACAAGTTGTGAGACAGCTTCTATTGCCTTCATTTTTTGTTTAAAGTATCGTTAAACAAAGAGTATCTTTCTTTTTATAACATTTTCCTTCCTTCTCTCTTTCTCTATTATACAATACACACACACACACACACACACACACACACATATATATTTTTAACTACTTTTTAAGGAATTGTTCTACTTGATTTCATCCTATCTGCTTTTTCTGATTGGTCATCTCTATAATTACTGAGCACACACTACATACACAACACAATACTGGGTGCCAGATGTACAATAATGAATAAGACAACCTTTGTCCCCATAAAGAGGGCACAGTGTAATGGAAGAGGCTGACATGAATACAACTGAAAATACCATAGAACAAGGAAAGGGTATGGGTGCACACAGGGCAGAGAGAGCAATTCTAAGTGGGGACACAGAAAGTAAGAGAAAGATAGTATAAGAATGAATAACTTATTTATTTCCTGGACCTATGAAATTATTTTCAACCCTGACTCTTAATATCCATAGTGAAAATCTAGAGTCTCTCCTCCTACCTACAAGTAGAGAGTTCACATAGTCCATCTCCCATATGCCGTATGAAAATACCCAAAATCTGATCACTTCATGGATGTTTTTCATTTTTCAGATGGTGAAATCCAGGCACATACTGGTGAAATGATAGCTAAGAATAACACAGTTAGTCATATACTATAAATAGCCTGTCCTTCATTGATTTAAGACTTATACTCAATAGCACCTCTGACAGAGGATATTTTACCATAGGACAGTGGCAAAATGGTGCTATACTTATAAATATAGCTTCATATCACAGTATCTCAGGATCCAGGGCTTCTGGTAGATCTAGTTCTCCCATCAGGAAGGCCAATGTGAAGGCCAGTTGTGAGACAAAAGTAGACTAAATGATCACAAGATAGGGAGGCAAAGTATTAAATATTCATCATGTGACAAGAGCCATTCGGTTTAACTATCTGCACTTTGTTTTGGGTACCTTCTCAATAAATTGAGTTTTTACTCTCAAATATTGTGGAGAAGATTCCCATATACTTAGTAACTGATTCTGGACTTGGCAGGCTTTTCCCTCAGCCTCATTCTCAATCTGCCTTGTTTGTATCGATTCCATCACTTTCTTTATAGCCAGAAATCTAGTTGAAAGAAGAGGCTTCAAGAATCAATCCCTTTTGTCATAAGACTCAGTCACTCTCCTGTCTTTATAGGAAGCTATCTGTGACAGTGGATTCTCATCATAAAGAAAAGTTACTAGTTAGAGAATTCCAGAGGCATCAGAGCATTAGAATTAAGAGTATCCTTCTAATTCTGTGCTTTCTTTAAAGAATAATCACTCTACCGTAAGACTGATTTTGTTAATGAACGATCTGCTCTGCAAACCTTCATTCGATTCACAATAAAAAATTAAAAAAAAAAAAAGATTTTGTTCTGATGTTGCTTGATTCAAAAAAAATGTTCCAAGTGTCTATTTCTTCACCCCACTTCACTTCCTTCACTTGTTTCAAAATTAGCCCCTGAGTGTCCAGCACTGTGCTAGTTACTGGGGGTGTTGGGTTGTTGTTGGTATGTGCCGTGGAGTCGGTTCTAACTCATAGCGACCCTGTACAGGGTTTCTGAGGTTGTAAATCTTTACAGGAGCCGAAAGCCTCCTATTTCTCCCATGGAACAGCTGGTAGTTTCGATCTGCTGTCATTGAGTTAGCAGCCCAACTCATAACCACTACACTACCAGAGCTCCTTAGGAGTGTTGGTTAAGAGGAAACAAAGAAAGTAAAGTTCTTATCCTCAAGGAATTACTTGATCAATGGGAGGAATGAAAGAAGCCCATACATAACTCAACTGCAAAGTTGAATATGACAAGGGGAATAGGAACAAAAATGCCACCAGAGTTTGAAGAGTTCAAAGGAGGCAGAGATTTCTGTGGGTGGGACAATCAGGAAAAGCTTCATGCAAGAGCCACATATGAGATCAACCTTTGGGTATAAGAGGATTTTCTCCAGATAAAGAACTGAAAGGTACGTTGAAGGGACAGAGGTGGAGTAGAGAGTGTGTGGTGGAACAGGGAGACAACAGGTAAGAAAAATTGATTGGGACGACAAAGTGGTCATAGTTCCTGAGTTTTAGAGGCAGCCAAGAAGCAGCGAAGCAGTTGCTGAAATGGGAGCAGTTCTTAGGTTAGACCTAAGATTGGTACAAGTTGAATTAGAGGGGCTAGATATACAGACATCATAAGGACATTTTTATTGTTTCAGGCCATGGACAATGGGTCTAGATAGCTCTGAATACACAACAAAAGAAAATGTAAAATATGATTCTGTGTTTTTGAACCCAAAAAGTAAGAAGGAGGAGCAGGTTGGTGAGGACTGAGCCTTGTTTCTTGGTTGGTGGCCAATGCTACTGACGGAAACAAGCAGCTCCACATCAATCTCTTCTTCACAGATACACAAAGAAGTTAAATTCAAACTAGGGCATTTGACCTGTAGTCAGCAATTTGGCAGGGGGTGGGGAAAAGGTGAGGACAATGGTCGAGGGTCATGAAGAAAGTAAGATGGTTCATCTACTGGGCTACTCACCCACTACCCCAGGCTCCATGGGAATCAGGCAAAGGAAGACACTACACGTAAATCACATTTTTTAAGTACTTGTGGACTGTAGAGTAAAAATTGAAAGGAAGGGAAGGCTTAGTTCTAAAGCGTCGTAGGTGATTTAGTTTGTTGTTGTTGCTAAGTGCTGTGGAGTCAATTCTGACTCACAGAGAACCTGTATAGGGTTTCTGAGGAGTGACTGGGTAGATTTGAACTGCTGACCTTGTGGTTACCAGTCCTACAGCACCACGCCATAACCAATAATATGTAGGTGATCAGGGAGCAAGACGATACCAATGCTGCCATTAATGTTGAGAGATCACAAGTGCTTGGGCCAGGCTGTGGGGATATTTACAAAATAAGGAGTTTGTGTGTACTTCTCTGTACAAACACATATGTATTTGGGCACACACACACATACATTCTCTTTATGCCTCATTTCCTCCTTTCATGAAATTGGAGGGCAGGGGAAACAGGCTTTATACCTTCAGTCTTACAGCATATGAAGTGACTTAGGGGAGCTGGTTTTATTCACACAGTGGTTGACACAGAATCCTGAGAGGTTGGTAGAGCAGAGGAGAAGAACTGGGAATGGTGGTGGAGAAGAGCCATGGGCTCTGGGAGCTAAGCCCATCCCATTCTCTGTGCTCACTGGGTTGGGCTGGAGAGCAGGGCTGGCAGCTTACGGTCCCTAAACTGCTGCAATAGGCAAGTCCTCTTACTTGGAATCTTTAAAAAGTTCCACAAAATTCTAAGAATGCAGCAATATTTCCAATTATAAAACTGGGGATGAAATCTAGATAACAGTGTAAGAATGGGGACTACAGTAAGAGCATGCCGCTGCTTCTGCTTCCTGTAGCTCTTTATCCTTCATTTGTATCTCAGCCACTGGTGCTTTGAAGACATTTCAAAACTCCAAACCCATACAGTACAACTTCCTTCAAAACAAACAAAGCCATATTCCCTTCTGTTCTGAGAAACTCCATGAACCAATAAAAACTCAACTATAACTAAATCACCATCAATTCTACACGCTGGGGTGAGCTACTGTGATTGCTAGTTCTGATGACTAGAGATTAGTCTTAAAAGTGGCCCAAGCTCACATATGCTAACAGCTGCTGCTGTGTTGTTTTTGCTTCCGTTCGGTTCGCCTTCTTCCCTCTTTTCCATTTACTCCTCTACTCACACGTGCCACTTTGTAAAAATATCATAAAACTGTGAAGTCCAATCTTTTGAATCATTTAGTATCACCTGAGAATGCCTTTCAGACCACTCATCCTGACAATTACAGTGTGTAAATTTGATGTTTCCTTTGTTCTTTGAGGGCCAGGGAGTGGCATCTACAAACACAGCAGGTGTCAGAAGTTTGGGATTCTGGGATTCCTGTAGCTCAGAGGGACTGTCTGCTCAGAAAAGATGGGGAAAGTGAGGCCCTGAGAAGTTAGTTTGCTTGTTGAAGGCCGTACAGCATCCTTGCCAACTTCTGACTGGGAGTCTAATGAGTTTTTCCTGACACACCATCTGTCTGACTTTTACTGACTTCACGATGCCTGTCAAAGATTGGCCTATGCAGTTCCCCAGGGAGATGCTACTTACTTTTGGTAGGCTGCTGGGAGCAGACGAAAGCGGGAGAGAGACGTTTCCTGCAGAAGTCTTTTTACTTGCAGGACTTGCTTCACTGGAGTCAACAGCCGCTGCATTTTCGGAGAAGCAACAGAAGCCAGGCTGTTCAGAGTCCTTGGGAGAGATGCCCAGCACAGTTCCATCTGACTATATAGCGCTGGGAGGGTCCCGTACTAGAAAGCCCCACCCCTGACTATCCAAGCTCAATCAGCTTCTGAAACTAGGGCAAAGGTCTCACTCAGAACATGGTGAGTCAAAGGAAAACATCATCTCACCGACATGTACACACACAGTTGCTCCTGGGAGTATGTGGGAGGGGAGAGCTCTAGTTCTTCCTCTCAGCCTTTAAAAAAAAAATTTTTTTTTTTTAACTCTTTCTTGTGAATTGAGCCAAGGTTTACAGAGTGGAGCATCAGCTTTATATTCACCAAATCATAGACCTTGTTTCATTACAGTAGTAGCGGTCCTCTCCATGCACCATCAGTTAACAGTATCTACCCCTATTCACTTTAACTCTTGCATTCCTCCTGTGTCTCCTGCTACCCGAATCTTTCCCCTGCCATCCTCCCTCTTGGTGTATATTGTCGGCCCCATCACCCATATTAGCATGTGTCTACCCTCTAGCCCATGAATAATTTTTCCCCCACCCCCTTAACCATCCTATAATGTTTCTTTTATCAGTAAAACATTTTGTTAACTTTTTACAACATTGATCTCATACAATGTAGCTCTGTAGGATAATCATAAGGTCAGCGATTCAAAACCACCAGCTGCTCCTCGGACACATACAGGGTCTATGTGAATTGCAACTGACTTGATAGCACTTTAAAACCACGGGACCCTCAATCTCACCCTCAATCTCTCTGAAACTCTGTGCAGGGTTGTTATGAGTCAGAACCAACTCAATGGCACTTAACAACAAATAGCAATTTGAGGAACATCTGTGCTGGGTATAAGACTTTTGGTTGGCAATTTTTTTCTTTCACAGTTTTGTATATGTCATCCGAATGCTTTCTTGCCTGCATGGTTTCTGATGAGAAATCAGAGCTTAGTCTTACTGGTTCTCTTTGTAGGTAACTTTTTGTTTTTCTAGAACTGCTCTCTGGATTTTTTTCCTTGGCTTGGCTTTGGAAATTTTGATTATGATGTCTTGGTGATTTTCATTTGGAATCTATCTTGTTCATGGCTTGCTCAGTTTCCTCTAAGCTTATCTTCTTGTTTTTCATGATGTTAGGGAAGTTTTCTTCCAACAACTCTTCAAGAATTTTCTCTGTACTTTTTATTATCTCTTCCATTTCTGGATTCTTATCACTCATAAATTGTCCCACATAACTCTTAGGATTTCTTCAGATATGTTCATTCTTTTTTCTGATTGTTCTAGCTTACTAATATTGAGAGATTTATCTTCAAGCTAATTTGGGCTTCCATTGCTACAAATCTTCTGAATTTCTATTTGCAAGTTTTGCATTCTTTCAAAATTGGCATTTATTTTTTTCTATTTGTTTTTGTAGTTCTTTCCTTCTTCTGAAGGTTTTTTTCCTGTGTTCTCCTTGCTTTCCTCCATCTTTCTGTCAGTCCTTTGAAGGTAGCTGAATATCATTCTTTTCAATTATTTTTCAGTTAATTTCATTCCCATTCACTGTTTGTGCACCTCAGTTTAGGGTGGGTTTCACTGGTGCTGTTGCCTGCTGTCTACCATTAATCAAGTGGTATAGGAGGTGACATGAGCTTCTTCCCAGTGGGTAGAGCTGCAAAGGGTATAGTGGTGACAGGACTGTAAGGATATGGTTGTTGTATCCTGTCAGGTGGGAAAGAAGAGAATCCCTCTCCCCATACTCACAAGAAAACAAAATAGTAACCCAATAAGGAACCAACAATGAAAAGAGAAAATAATGAAGAAGAGAAAAGAAATAAAAACAGGCAGCAATCAGAAAAATATAATAACTAAAAGAAGGACAAGAAAATGGAGCTGTAGAAGAAAAAATAAGAAAGCAACTATACAAAAGGAAAAAGAAACACTTGGAAAAACCAGGGAGAGGAAGATGAAAAGAGAAAATGAATAGAGAGTAGTAAAGAAAGATCAAGAGGAGGAAAAAAAGAAAAGGGGAAATGAGAAACAGAAAAAAAGGAAAAACAAAAGCAGAGATAGACAGGAAAAAATTTAAGGGACTGGAGATAGAAGAAGACAGAATAAATAAACAAAACCAGTGAAACAAAGGAAAAACAGAAACAAAACAAAAAGTGCAGCTCTTGGACCCAGAAAGGACAGAACTCTGGGAATCTCCTGCCAACCAAGGAACTCACGTGGTAGATGCAGAGGGACAAGACAGTGGAGCTCCTGGCCCTAAATCTGGAAGTAGTTCGTGGAGGCCCTTGATGGAGCTGGTTTCAGTGTCTGTTAGAACCACAGGGCAGCTGGGGGCAGGATGGTTAGCTATCATGGTTTCTGCTAGACAAATGTTGGTCTGGTGGCTCTGTGGGTTCTGTAGATCTGAAACTGAGTCTGCCTGAATGCAGGCATCAACACGACACTGCTGACCCTCACCTCACACTAGTAAGGCACACAACCATACAGTTCTGAACTCCCAGAGAACAGGGTCTGCACTGGAGGTGTATGAGGGTGGAAAATGGCCATACTTCTGGTCACCAGGGGAACATCAGGAAAAAGAAGGAATTGCACCCCTTTCCTATCGCCTGTATAAATCTGTTCTGTCAGGCCACTTTCTCTCACCAAAGCTGCTCACAAAATTTCAAGATGGTCATACCCCATCTGACTGGCTGTTCACCAGTCAGTGTCCCTTTCTCATTGCCCCTGCTGAACTTCTCCCAGCAAACACTCAACCCACTGCTCTAAACCTACATCTGAAGTTCTGGAGTCCAGGATTTTCACCGGTGTCTGTTTCATTTGGTCTCTTGTATCTCTGTTGTAGAGGGTCTGTGCATTGTGTTTGCTTAGCCTGCCATTTCCCTCTCTCAGCCTTTTTGGCAGTTTTATATTTGACAGGTCATGTTTATTTATTTATTTTAAAGTTTTTATTGTGAATTGACTGAAAGTTTACAGGGCAGATTATCAGTTTTACATTCAGTAAATCATATTTTGTTTCATTGCAGTGATTACAGTTCCCTCCATATACCATCAGTCAACAGTATTTACCTCAATTCCCTTTATTCCCCCCACCTTTTTTTGATGTACACATATAAAACAGAAAATACATATTTGTTTAAATGTCCAAAGGGCACACTTTACAAGCCAGCCCCCTGCCTTCAGGCACACAACCTTTCTCAGTCCATCCACCCAGTCATTTTGGAGGTTGTGTTGTTCCTTGTAACACATTTCAAGACAGCCCCACCTCATCTGTCTTAACCGCTGGTCCTCAGGCTCATCCCTGACTACTTATCATTACTCTCACCTGGTGGTTGAGGATCTTTGCCATGGTGTTAACTTTTTTTTTTTTTTTTTAATGTATTCTACACAATAAAAATATTTTAAAACCAAATGGAATTAATCTTTAATAGTAGCTCTTATAGTCATTGGGTGTGTGCATTGGCACATAGATAAAGGGATAAGTATCAGAGAGGATGTGAAGCGTGCTATATTTTTCCTATGTTCATCATCCACCCCTATGTTACATTGCTCTACAAATTTCCCATAATAATAAATGAAGGAAAAAAGTGAAGTTGTCAATGAGTTCATTCCACTTGGATTAATAATCAACATCCATCTGAACAGCAGTCAAGACATCAAACTAAAGTTTCAAAAAGCAAAGATGTCACTTTAATGACTAAGGTATACCTTAACCTAAACCATGATCTTTTCAATTGCATCAGATGCATGCAAAAGTTGGCCAGTGAGAAAGAAAAACAGAAGAAGAGTTAAAGCATTCAGAATGTGGTGTTGATGAAGAATAATAAATATATCATGGATTGTTAGAACACATAAATCAGTCTCAGAAGCAATACAATGAGAATACTTCCTAGAAGGATGCCTTGTGTACTTTGGACACATGATTAGGAAAGATCAGTTTCTATAAAAGGACGCCATATCTGGTAGAGGATTAGCAAAAATGAAGGAAACTTTCAGTGAGACGGGATGACACAACAGCCACAACAGTGAACTCAAACATAATATTGATCATGAACGTGGTACAGAAGCAGGCAAGGCTTTGTATATAAGGTCACCATGAGTTGATGCTGCTTCTTGGGCAACTAACTAACAACAACATCACAATTCCCAAGTAGGACGCAGTAAGCGCTGCAATAGAGGTACCAAAGTCCCCAAAACAACGGACATTTCTAACACAAGCATCCTAATGAGGAAATTCCTCTTTCAGAGAGGTCAGTGATACATAAAAAGATGATGTAATTATCCCAATGACATACAGCTTTACTAGATTGAGACAGACTGGGGACTCAGCCTTGCCTTTCAGAGTTTTGTATATGTCTCCCCATTGTTTTCTTGCCTGCATGGTTTCTGCTGAGAAATCAGAGCTTAATCTTATTGGTTTTCCTTTGTAGGTAACATTTCATTTTCCCCTAACTGCTTTCAGTTTTCTTTCCTTGTCTTTGATTTGAAAGAGTTTGATTATGATATATCTTGGTGATTTTATTTTGCGGTCTATCTTGCCTGGGGTTCACTCAGCTTCTTGAATGCTTACCTTCACATTTTTTCCTGATGTTAGGGAACTATTCTTCCAGCAGCTCTTTGACTATCTCTTCTGTGGTTTTATTTCTTCCCGTTCTGAAATTCAAATCACCCATAGGTTATTCCTCCTCATGTTGTCTCACATGAATCTTAAGCTTCCTTCAGATTTTTAAATTCTTTTTTTCTGATTGTTCTTCTATCTTAGCGATATCAAGAGATTTATTGCAAGCTTGCTGATTCAGGCCTCCATTTATTGATTTCCACTCATCTTGCCCATTCAGTGTATCATCTATTTCTGATGTTTTAGTACTTGATCACCTGGGACTCTGATTGCAGGTTTTGTATTGTCTCCAATGCTGTATTTATTTTGTTTGATTGTTCCGGTAGTACTTTTTTGAATTCTTTCTTGTTTTCTTTGGCCTTTTTGTGGAACAT